GGAGCATAGGAAGTGATTGCAAAGATCATGGTCTCTATCAGACACACCTTGGTCTCCAGATGGACATCAGTGCTCTGTAGTACTCTGGAGAGGTCACTGGCAGCAGATTTTCCCAACACAATATGTCTTTTAATTTCCTAGCTGCTCATGCCAAGAGTGTTGATCAAAGAGCCAAGCAAACTAAAGCTGTTTATAATCTCAAATCTCTTCACCATCCATTATGATGGAATTTATAGACTATGAAAATCTGGTGGAGGGTCATCTATGAATTGGTCCCAACTAAATGGTATGTAAGAACAACTGTCACTTATGTCTAAGTCAGAGATTGCTCATTCTTTTAGTTTCTTAGTATTGCACCAACGACTATGTAACCTTATCAGTCCTTTACTATTTAGGCTACAAACAGTGCTGCAGTGACTAATCTTTTACATTTATCATATAATAAGTATAACCAGAAGTAATTTTGGGTTAAAAGGTTTAAAAGTGTCTTTCATGTTGGAGAACTGTCAAACTATTCTTTATGATGTAACAATTTAAAATGTACAAGAATGCTCATTTCTTTAAATATTCACTAAAGTTTAATTGGTTCATAATAAGAAACACAAACTTCATTAGTTCACTTACCAACCTAACTAGGATAAAAATCTCTTGAACATTTAACCAATATTTGAGCAGGTCTCTCACTGGGAGGAAAAAGGTATTAAAAAGGTAACCTTTTGGCATAGTCCTTCTGATCATTCTGCTTTAAGGGATTATAGGCAAGTGTAATGATGACTCCCAAATAGAATACCGCTTCCACACAAGGTGGCACACAAAATTTGATAAATCAGAGCCTTTCGAATTACTTTCTTCTGCCCAATGTGCTAAATGTTGACGTTTATTAATAGCTTACGATGACCAGAAGAAAGTCTTCATTTGGGGAAAAGGTACTATGTCCTAAGAAGTGATGCAGCAAAGAATTTGAAGCTATGTTCCGAAGTCAAAGAAATTTTAAAATCTGTATCAATCTGATTATGATTACTGCTTAACTATATTTCACAAGTCAATTTACCATCACAAAAAGGTACGTATTTGACAAGTGTGTACTAATTCTGTATTTCTGGTTGAAGAGAGAGGTTGAAAACCTAGAATAAACGAATGAATGGAAGAATGAATGAATATAAATAGATAAATTCTCCATATACTAGTTATGTAACATAAAGTCAACTACAACCCACAGAGGCCCTATGATCAATGGTTCTGACCTTGCCCAGGTAGAGCCCACCTGTCTCTGTCAAACCTAGCCCTACTGACAGAATAACTGTCAACCCATCTGTATCAGCTACAGTTTAAGTTTCTTCTGTCAGACTTTTAACTATATAGTGTTTGCCATTTTAAAGATGTGAAAATTATGGTTCAGTGACATTAAAATCATGTCACAGTCAAAGCCTCATTTTTGTCACCAAGACCATACTACCATTCCTTGCTTGTTTTAAACTTTTGCATTTCAGTTGCCAATTATCATTAATGAATTTTGATTGCCTATTTGGTCAATTGTGGACTGCAAGATCTGGCAAAATTTTCCAATTTCCTCCTCTTTGGCGTCTGCTGTAAGAGTGTAGTTTTAAATAATTATGATATTAACAGGTCTTCCTTGACTCACAACAAAGTACTTCATGATGGTGGTGGCTGTTGTTGTTAGTAGGTGCTGTCAAGTCATAGACGACTCATAGCAACCCTATGAACAAAAGTCTGAGCACTGTCCATACAAAGTGGATGCCACTCCTGCTTCCAGGCTTGTTTTAGTCAGGAAGCTCCAGCAAACACTGTACACCATGGTTAACCATTATCATATTTGACACATGAGTGTTAGAGTGTTTAGCATCACATCAATCACAAGTTACCTTTGTACAGCAATGCACAGACCAGTTCTATACCACCTAGAAGAATGTTGGACAGGAAAACAATTTGAACCTGGCTGAAGGCCGCAGATGAAAATCACCCACTTTCAGCTTGGTAGCATAACTTTCTGTCCACTAGGCCAACGTAGCTCTATGTCGCCGTTGTTATTGTTGTTAGGTGCCATCAAGTCTTCAGGACAGGACTTAAAATTGTTGTTAGGTGCCGTCGAGAACTTCAAGATAGAATTTGAAATTGTATCTTTAATTATGAACATAACCTCATTTTTCTGTTTATTTCCAACATAGTATTCCATGAATGATCATTACAAAGACAGAAGGGGGGGGAAAGGACTAAAATGGATGTCAGAAGAAACTCTGAATATTGCACTGGAGGGCAGAGAAGCCAAAGCACAAAGAAGAATTCAAGATACTAAAGAGCTAAACAGAAGATTCCAAAAGGCAGAATGGGATGACAAAGCAAAATATTACAATGAAATATGCAAGGAGCTGAAGTAGGAAAATCAAAAGGGACGAACTCCTTCAGCATTTCTAAAGCTCAAGGAACTGAAGAACAAATTCAAACCTCAAGTTGCTATAATCAAGGATGCTTTAGGCAGAATATTAAATGATCAAGGAAATATTAAAAGAAGATGAAAAGAATATATTGAGTCACTGTATCAAAAGGAATTGTCAGACACAGAAATTTCATGAAATAACGTATGAGCAAGAGCCTATGGTGATGAAGGAAGAAGTTCAAGCTGCTTTGAAAGAAATAGCAAAAAAAAAGGCCCCAGAAATAGATGATATACCAATTGACATATTTCAGCTAACAGATGCTGCCGTGGATGTGCTCACCAAGTTGTGCCAAGAAATCTAGAGAAAAACCACCAGGGCAACTGACTGGAAAAGATCTATATTTGTTCCCATCCCAAAGAAGGGTGACCCAACAGAGCATGGAAACTATAAAACAATATAATTGATTTCACATGCAAGCAAGATCCTACTGAAGATTATTCAAAAACGACAGGAACAGCACATCAGCCAAGAACTGCGAGAAGTCCAGGCTGGGATTAGAAGGGGTCATGGTACTAGGGATATTGTAGTTAATGTTAGATGGATCTTGGCTGAAAGCAGGGAAAACCAGAATGTCTATCTGTGTTTCATTGATTATGCAAAGGTGTTTGACTGTGTGGATCATAACAAACGGTGGCTGACTCTTGTGGCTTACTCTGAAAAGAATGAGCATCCCAAAACAGTTGATCGTTCTAATGAGAAACCTATACTTGGACCAAGAGGCAGTAGTCAGAACAGAGCAGGGTAACACTGCATGGTTCAAAATTGGGAAGGGTGTACGCCAGGGATGCATCCTGTCTCCATACCTTTTCAACATGTATGCAGAGCAGATTATCCGAGAGGCTGGGCTCTATGAGGAGAATTGTGGCATCAGGATTGGTGGAAGATCTATTAACAATCTCCGTTATGCAGATGACACAACCCTGCTTGCTGAAACTGAGGAGGACCTCATGCACTTGCTGCGAGGGGTCAAGGACTGCAGCCTTCAATATGGACTGAGGCTCAATGTCAAGAAGACAAAGATTCTCGCCACTGGACCAATTGGCAGCATCAGGATGGATGATGAAGAGATTGAGAGTGTTCACAGTTTCAGTTTGCTCGGCTCCACAGTCAACACTCTTGGCACCAGCAGTCAGGAAATCAAAAAGCGTATCACGATGGGAAAGTCTGCTGTTAGGGACCTCTGTAAGGTACTCAGGAGCAACAGTGTCTCTCTGGAGACTAAGGTGCGACTGATACAGGCCACGGTATTTGCAATCGCTTGTTATGCATCAGAGAGTTGGACAATGACTAGGGAGGACAGAAGGAGAGTGGATGCTTTTGAGCTGCGGTGCTGGAGAAGGGTACTGAATGTACCATGGACTGCCAGGAAAACAAACAGATTCATCTTGGAGAGGATTAAACCAAGCTGCTCCTTGGAAGCAAGGATTCTGGCGCTTCGTCTGACATACTTTGGACATGTTGCCAGGAGGGATGGGTGCTTGGAGAGGGACATCATGCTTGGGGGGGTGGAGGGACGGCGAGGAGGGGAAGGCCCTCTATGAGATGGATTGATTCGGTGAGTAGGGTAATCGGGATGGGTGTGTCAGAGGCGGTGTGGTTGGCACAGGATAGAGCAGAGTTTAAGGCTGTTGTGCATAGGGTCGCTATGAATCAGAAACGACTCGATAGCACATAACAACAACAACAGTAATCTGGAAAGTTAACTAGCATTATGTATTGTTATATGGCATGAACCTTGCTTAAAAAACTTATTAAAAACTGGAATTTACATCCTATATATCTTCTGCTGGAAGCTTAATATAGTAAGAGAAATAACTGCAAATTTATGCTCCAACTGCAAAATGTTGTCAATGTTTCTGTCTGTATCCTCAATTCAGAATCAATGCATAACTGACTCAACAGCAGGTTTTCAAAGGCAGAAAATAGTACGGGAGGACATTGCCCATCTTTCTCCCACAGTGCAGTTATGTTGAGTGGGCAGCAAAATTACCACTAAGCCACCGCTATGCTGACTCCCTCCTCCCATATTAATTGCATAAACAATCATTAGAAATGAGTTACAAGTGCACATTACTATGTTGCTGAAAACTAAAAACCTGCTGCTATCAATCTTTGTTCAACTCAGTGACTCTCCACTGAGTTTCAGAGGACACATATCTTTATGTGGGAAGATAATGTGAGGAGACTGCCCATTTTTCTCTTCTGGAGCAGTTGGTGAATTCAAACTGCCATACTATGGTGTAGTAGCCCAATATGCAACACAATATGCCATAAGGCTCTTTACTAGAAGATTAAATAATTAAAATGACTTGGAATTATTACGTAGATAGAAGAGGAAATATTTATACTGACACCTGTAAAGAATTTCTGCTGTTTTACAAAAATACAATTTTCTGTCTACAATGACTTTTTATTTGGTATCACAAATACAATAAGCCTCTGATTATATGCCTATTAAAATAAATTATTCTCAAGAAAATGTCACTGTAATTAAGGTGAGAAATAAAGATTTATGCACTCTAATAAAGACAAAACAAATGTTTATTAGAAACATCACAAATTTAATGTCAAAGACATTGAATTAAAGTATAAAAATTAAACAACACATGATTTGAACATTAAAAACCATAACATTTCTTACTCAAACAACTAAACAATGAATATCAAAAACTCAAATGAAGCAGAACTATAAAAACTTTAAATAAGTTAACATCAAATTATAATTCTATAACAAATAATTATTAACAAAAATATTTATAGTTAGTCTCAAGGACCACAATGGTAGACTGTTTTTCCTTTTGCACTGCATAAAATCTGCATCTTAATCTTTTTGCCTCATCATTTCTTTCTTACATAATAGCTACTTTTGGTTAAACACTTGCTTTAATCTCCAATACAGATAGTGATCCTTGGTAATCAAATCCCATGTAACCAATGTCTACAAGTATTTTAATATCCATGAAGTGCTATTTAGTAAAGTTATTATGCAAAAATAGCAAAAACTTCTGAGTTCTAATACCCGCTCAGGAATTAGAAGCATTTTAAATTTCAAAAGTTTAAAAAGAACAGAAGTTCACTATACCTTTATTAAGAAAAACTACTGAATAACTTTTTAAACTTTGCATCCACAAGTTTTACAACTGCATGTTATTCAGAATTGTATGATGTCTTTCCTCTTTCAAATAAATATACATTTATCTTTATAAAACCAAATGTGCAAACCCGATTCTAAAATAAAACAGTATTTTAAATTGCATGCTTTACAAATAAATTTTCATACTAACGTTTACAGTATTTCCTTCAGAAGAATGAGGACTGACTGGAGATATACAGTCGCTGTCCAACATGGCTGCCATTAGTAAATGATATTGTTGGCGACAAGGGATAGCTTGAATAAGAGTAAGGCCTTGAAGTATAAGGAAGCACGCTGGGAGTCCCAGAAGAGAGGGTAGCACTAACAGGGAAAAGACTATTTATTGAGCTGTGACGAAAATTGTAGTCTGTAAATAAATACATGAACAATTATGCTGCACATATTTATGGGTATTAAATTTAATTCAAAGAGACAAAGCATTAAAACTATAATCACATTTTAACATAATGTTCTAACTTACAAATTCCTGATGATACTATATCGTTGGCAAAGACTGTTTTCAGCATTCACTACAATGTAAATCCTAAATTTTACCAGTCACTATTACATATCCTTCATTGACAGGATGCTTCAGAGATCTTACTAGAATGAATTTTCAGATGTCTATTGTTTCATAAGGGCTTCTGTTTTCCTTTAATATTTTTTGTTTTTTGTATTACAGAAAAAGAGAAACTGATTTAGTTTGTTCCACAATAAAACTTCTCTTTAATCTGGTTCTAAGGCTAAGGAGTAATCCATGAAGAAAAAGCTTAAAAAAACAGCCAATTCATATTTGCTTCCTTTTATGAAACTCTATCAAACCAGCAGGAACATTCACCTGGACTTTATATATATTTGGTGTAAAGTAGCTGTCCAATATTTCATCATTTAGATACTACTATAAACTAGTATACAACTCAACACACCAATTGAACATTAGCATCCTACTGGTACAATAAAACAGTAAAAATCTTTATAAAATAAACTTCAAGAAACCATTATCAACTTAAATACCCAAAATTAAACCAAATTGTTAAAAATACAATTATATTTGAAATATTACTGTTCCACAATAAACATTCATCTTACGTGCCAATAATTTCCTGCTTCATTAATTGTAGCATTTGTAAAGAGTGCATATGTGTGTGTGTGTGTATATCAATGACCAAATGTGTAAATCCTATGTTTTCCAAAACCTCAACTATATTCTTTAGTGTAAAATAAGCCAAAGGTGTTAATGGATTTAAAACAATTAATTATAAAAGTTATGATGTTATCTAGAAATGGAAGAAAGGAAATTTGGTCATCTAAAATTTAGTTGGAGTGTTGTTTTCCCTTGTAATATTTTCCTGGGTCTATAAATAAGGTAAAAAATATATGAGCAGTAACTTAATGTTGTCATGAGGTATAATATGTTTAGCCAACAGGAATGAGATCAACGGCAGGAGAGTAAGGTCAAGCAACATCAGAAAGGACCTAGTTAAGAAAAGAAAATGGGGAGAAAAATCAGTTAAACATAGGCTTAATTTCTAGAAATGTAAAAACTCTAATTTGAATAAGTTTATGATGTTATTATTTTTTATGAATGGTAACTATCTACAAAAGCAGCATACACCAGAAAGACATAAATAAATAGAGTTAAAATAATGGCACTATTTCCAAACAGGACAAGAAACTATTTGATTCCACTAGCTTTTTTTAGCAATCAAAGAAAAATTCTAGGTATTAACAGGTGAGTTTTCTTCTTTTCTTAAGAGATCTCACTTTACCTGAGTATGAATAGAAATATCACTGTCCCTATGGCATTTTGGAATAACTATTTTTTAACAATCTCACATTGATTCCCTCCCCTCAAATATAAAGAAGCAAATTTAAGTCAATTTACTAATGACTTCTCTATAATGCATATACATTTCCAAAATTTAACATGTTATCATCTATAGCATTATTTAGAAGAAACATTTTAATATATTTCTGCAGCTACATTTCTTTATAATAAGTGGATTGAACAAAAAAATCACATTGGCTCTGGGTTTATATTCAATAGATAATACTCCCTTATCAGCAAATGTTGTTGTTATGTGCCACTGAGTTGCTTGCGACTCACAGCGACCCTATGTACAAGAGCCATAAATGCCGTTCTACCCTGTGCCAACCTCGCCGTCTCAAACACACTCATTCCCACCACTCTACTCACAGAATCGATCCATCTCATCAAGGGTCTTCCTCTCTTGCACTGTCCCTCCACTCTCCCAAACATGATGTCCCTCTCCAAGGACCGGTCTCTCCTTGCAACATTCTCAAAGTATGTCAGATGAAGCTTCAGAATCCTTGACTCCAAGGAGTATTCTGGCTTCACCCTCTCCAGGACAAACCTGTTTGTTCTCCTAGCAGTCCATAGTATATTCAATACTCTTCTCCAGCACCACAGCTCAAAGGCATCAATTCTCCTTCTATCATCCCTATTCACTGTCCAACTCTCCGATGCATAGCACGTAATTGCAATGACTATAACCTGGATCAGGTGCACCTTAGTCTTCAGCATGACATCGTTGCTCTTCAGTACTCTTGAGAGGTCCCTCACAGCCGACTTTCCTAATGCAACTCATCTCCTGATTTCCTGGCTGCTGTTACCAAGAGTGTTGACTGCAGAATCAAGTAAACTAAAACTGTTAACTATCTCAATCTCTTCACGATCAGCAATGTAAACAGAGAAATTACTTTCACAAGACTTCTCAAGGAAGTGAGTGTACTAACAGAGCTTAGAAGCAAAAACCTCTATTTCTATACTGAAAGCTTTTCCTCCCTTTTATCGTGATCTAAATAGAAGTTTACAGATTACATTGGCTTTTAAAAAGCTTTTTCATTTTAAACCAACCCTCCCCCCAGTAGATAGTAATAAAAAGCTGCACTGCAATCCCCAAAACATGCAGTTCAAATCCCATAGTGTTCTGTGGAAGAAAAAGTAATTTTTACAGCCTCTTCCTGTGCCATTTACACCCTTTGAAAACTCACTGCAGGGTCAGCTATTGGTCAGTATGAACTCACTGGCACATGACTATAATCCAGTGCTGCATTCCTGAAGGACATTAAATGAAAAAAAAAGAAATAAAACCAAATCAAAGTTGATCAAATCGACTTTAGAAACCTTGGTGTTATGGTATATACTACGTTGCTAAGTTAAAAGATCATTGGTTCAAATGCAACAGTTGCTTTATGAGAGTGAGGTGAACAGCATACTCCTATAGAGTTTTACCTCCTTAAAATCCCAATGGCAGGTTATCAATACAAGGAACTGACTCAGGGTTAGTGGATGGTTTGGGGTTTGTTTTTTATTAATTCATCCACTTATAATCAAGAGAGAGAACAAAATCTCAAGTTATTAAAAATATTAGGAAACAAAAAGTTTCAAAGATAAGCTTAAGGCTTTACAAGTATTTCAAAATTTAAGTGTTCTTAAAATATAACTATATTAAGAAAAACATGTATACTATCAAACTCTCACATCACTGAATCAGAATCAATTTACAGCAGACCCTCCACTCAGTTACTGCACTGACTGAAGTCAGCAGCACAATTTCCTATGGACTAACCCACAAGAACTTGGATAAGTAGACAATACATTCTAAAATTAAGCTAATTGATAAAATGCATAATTATAAATAAAATGAATAAAAAGAAATACTTTTTATCCGGAAACCCTATGAACCTGGAGAAAGGATGACAGTCACGCAAGTGGTGAGGACTTTCATTCAAAGGGTCGTTATGAGTCACCTACGATTCGATGGCACTTAATAACAACAACATCATAAAAAATAAAAACGTATAAAGCCTCATAGAGTTTTAGGAAATGAGTTAAAATCCTAGCATATACTTACTTGCCACCCCTCCCCCTGATTTTTCTCTCCAATGAACTCTTCAATCATACTGTCTGTCTAAAACTGTAATGTGTACTCCCTTTTCCCTCATTAAGGAAATGAGACAAAACCAATTTCAGAATTTAAATTTTACACTAAGTGGTATTTAATTAACACTATAAATTGAGGAAGAATTTATACACAACAAATTACTTTTGAAAACTAAACACAGATCCATGTAAAATCAACACCCAAAACATAAAATATATCCATAGACTTAGAACTTTCTTTGTGCACTTCTACTCTACAGTCTTTTACTCATGAACACCACTTTCTAATGTCTAGCACCATGATAAAGTTTCCTTGTTCTTGGAAGTGATATACATGGAGCATATGTTTATATATTCAGCAACTTTCTATCAACACAACTTCTATAATTAACTCAGATTATCATGTGCTAAAATGACATAGAGGTCTCTTAAGATGCTGAGTAGTATTCCACTGTAGATAAATACTTAAATTGTCACTAAAGTGTGAAGACCAGATGATATCAAGAATACCATCGAGAGGGAATACAAAAAAGTCATTGTAAAGAGAGAGCAGAAAAAAAAGACCAAAATGGATGTCAGAAGAAACTCTGAATTTTGCACTAGAGCACCGAGAAGCCAAAGCAACGGAAGAAATTAAGGAGGTGAATAGAAGATTCCCAAGGGCTTTGTGGGAAAGTATTATAATGAAATGTGCAAGGAGCTGGAGTCAGAAAATCAAAAGGGCTGAACTGCTCAGCATTTTTTAAGCTGAAGGAACTGAAGAACAAATCCAAGCCTCGAGCTGCAATATTTAAGGATGCTTTGGGCATAATATTAAATGATCCAGGAAGCATTAAAAGAAGATGGAAAGAGTATGTAGTCATTGTACCAAAAGGAACTGTCAAACACAGAATTTCATGAAACAACGTATGAGCAAGAGCCTGTGGTGATGAAGTTCAATGGCATACAAATTGACATATTTCAAAAAACAAAAACTGCATTGAATGTGCTCACCGAGTTGTGCCAAGAATTCTGGAGGGCAACCACCTGGCCAACTGACTGGAAGAGATCAGTTAGTCCTATTCCAAAGAAAGGTGATACAACAGAGTACGGAAATTATTGAATAATATCTCATGCAAGCAAGATTCTGCTGAAGATTATCCAAAAATGACTGGAACGGCACATCAAAAGAGAAATGCCTGAAATGCAGGCTGGGTTTAGAAGAGGCCATGGTACTAGGGATATTACACCAAATGTTAGATGGATCTTGACTGAAAGCAGAGAGTATCAGAGTCATGTCTATCTGTGTTTCACTGATTATGTAAAGGCATTTGACTGTGTGGATCACAACAAACTGTGATACTCTGAGAAGAATGGGAATTCCAGAACATTTGATTATGCTTATGCAAGATCTATACTTGGACTAGAAGGCAGGCGTCAGAATAGAGCAAGGAAACACTGTATGGTTCAAAATTGGGAAA